TTGATAAAAGTCTTACCTCTCTTGTCATTCCTACCGCCTCTTTCAAAATACCATGAATGCCATAAATACTGTTTTTTAGCCTCTCTCAAAAAAAATAAGATAAGTCTTCATAAAATATATAGATTAATAATCATGGTCGATAATTAAGACTGAGCTAGCAGATGAGTAATCCTAGTCATTGACCAAGCAGCATTTGTACCCAATATAAGTCTCTGTGTGTTGCTTGGGACCTTAACGTGGCGGCAGGCAGAAGTCGGGTAGCCTGGCAGAGAGCGCCCATGTGGCAGCAGGGCTCAGGTGGATGGAGTAAAGATTTATCGTTACAATTGATGATTTTGCTTGGCCAGTTTTAATTTATGTATATAGGTGTTTTGTTTGCATGTATGTCTATGTGCCTCTTGAGTGCCTGGCCCCCTCTGAGGCCAGAAAAGTAGAGTGGATCCCCGGAGACTGGAGTTACAGTTGTGAGCTACCATGTGGGTCCTCAGAATTGAACCTAGATCTTTTGGGAAAATAGCCATTTCTCCAACCTTTGATCTGAATTTATTTAAAAATTACTTTTGTAGCCAGGCTTGGTGACACACACCTTTAATCCAAGCACTTGGGATGGAGAGGGAAGTTGATCTCTAGGTTTGAGACCAGCTTGGTCTACATGTTGAGTTCTAGGCCAGCTAGAACTGTATAATGAGACTCTCAAAAAAATTCTTTTTGTTATGCTGGGGATCAAACCTAAAGCCTTGCACATGTGAGGCACATACTGTGCCATATTATATCCCCAGCTGCCTGATCCAAATGTTCCATGGTGTGGTAGAACATGGTGGAGCCCCTTTCTGGACTTACCCTTCTCCTCGATTCATGCCTGCCAGTTGACCCTCAAGCAAGCTCCTGGAAGCAAGAGACCCACTCTCTTCTGTATTGGCTGTATATTACTGTTTATTACTGATATAATTTCATTTTTGTTTTTTCCCATTTATTTATGGTAGGGGCACATATGCCACAGTGCACACATGGTGACCAGAGGACAATTTTCAGAAGTCAATTCTCCCCTTTCATCACGTGGGTCCCAGGGACTGCCATCAGTCTCACTTGCAAAATATATGTACCTGCTGAGCCAGCTTGCTGGCCCTGATGTATTTTTGTGTATGTGTATGTCTTTGGATATATGCCAGAAGAAGGCATCATCATATTCCCTGTAGCTGGAGTTAAGGGTAGATGACAACACCCCTATGCTGGTGATGGGAAACTTATTCAGTCCCTCTGCAAGAGCAGCAAATGCTATTAATCACGGCACCATCTCTCTACCCCATCCTCCTTGTTTTGTTTTTTTGAGACAGAGTCCCATGTGGCATAGATCTTGAACACTGGATCCTCCAGTATCTTCCAAGTGTTGGAATGAAGGGACCCCATTTCGGCAGCCATAACAGCCGAACACGTATTTGTCTGACTTTGTCTTAGTCACTAAGGTCAGATGCCTGCCCCTTTTGGCAGCCATGACAGTAACATGTGCTTTTCTGACCTTGCCTTGGTCACTAGAGGTTAGGTGCCTGCCTCGTGGCAAGGAACCAATCAGAAGTTAGCTGGTGGCGCTATGCTTTACGACCCTGGGTGTGCTTTATGGACAAGTGCACAGCAATGGCGCGCAGAGCATAGCAACCACCCTGGGAGGGCCTATGGGTTAGGGTTAGAGTGTGCTGCGGATGAGTCCCCTGAGGCTGCTACTCTGAATTCCAACCATTGCTGCGGCACTCACAGCTGAACCTGGCCGATGTAGGTGAGTCTATTTTTCTATTCTCACCTGCCAGTCTGTGAGTTATGCGAAGTGGGGCTGTCTCTGCCCTAACTGCCATCCTGCCGTGGGTCCTGGCTTGCGGTGGGAGTTTCCCTGCTCTGAGCACATGGCTGCAAGGCTGCCATCTGCCTGGCTGCCCGGCCTTCTCTGTGCTCCACACACATGGTATGCAGGGAAACCCTGGAGGTCTTTTTCCTACCCCTGCATTGGCCAAGGGTCTGGGATTACCAGCAGCACCACCCCCCCAGGTCTCTGCCCTGAGCACATGGAGCTGGGGCAGGTGAACCATCTGGCCTGATCCGGATGTTCTAAAAAAAAAGGCCTTAAAGTTATTAAAAGCTATAAAAAGGACTTTGATAAGAGTTTTTATGTTGACTGAGAAATGAGAGAAAATGTAGGAGACTAAAATAATAAAGAGAAAAAGGAAAAGAGAAATTTGTCTAAGAATGTCTAAGAAAATCAGAGGAATAAACCAAAGGTATATAGAAAGTTATAGAGGGTTAAAGCAAGTTTAAAAGATTATAGCAAAAACAAATGGTGAGGGTCCCCGCCATTTTGTAGCCAGCCACATGAAACAAAATGACTGGTAGCCATTTTGCTGAAGTTAAAAAAAGATACTTAAACCGCCATCTTAACTAAAGATGACTGCATGGAAACTAGAGGTACCATCTTAGAAACAAGTTTTTCAGTTAAGATTTGAAGTGTTAATACTTCTATATATTACAGAAAGACATTAAGGGAATTTAAATTTCTTTTTAAAACCAGTTTTTTAAATGTTTATGTTTTTTAAAATGT